CCACATTTCACTCTCAGAAACCTCCCAATGCTTTCACTTTGTGCTTCAGCAGTGTCGCTGCAAGAGGTGCAGGCACCACCACGGCGAGCCCCGCGCACGCACACAGACGCCACACACATGCATGCGTGCGCGCACACACGGACTGAGGGAGGCAAGACCGACAAGAGAACAGTGTGACATGTGGAGAGATACAATCACAGCCCAGATCAATACGAGCATTCCTGAGAGTTACAAGAATGAAATATATTTTTCATTGATTTGTTGTTTTAAACCATTAAGAAGATGGGTAAGCGTGCGAGAGCAGGTAAGCACTCAGGGCACTAAAAAAACACTGCCATTGTCACGCTGTTGTGGAAAACCCACCTCCCCGATGGCCCTGCCGAGTAAAAATCCAGAAAGCGGACGGCACCCCCGGCCCACGGGCCAGCATTTTCAGGAGGGGACTCCTGGGAAAGTGGGGGCCGTCTGCCATGGCTGCAGCCCCAGAGCTACCATGAGCCCCGGCCCTCGTGGGCTCGCTGGCGCACGCTCGTCTTGGGGGCAGTACTCCCATGGCCGCATTTAGAAAGAATCATAGTAATGTCCAAATCCCCGTTTCTGTTTAAATTGACCAAGTGGCACCATTTGCCCAGAGCACTGACGCAGACCGTGCGGCGTGGCGATCGATGGGAGGAAATGGAGAGGCCAGGGCGCCGGCAAAGTTAGGCGGGCGAGCGTTGCCATTATTGATTTTACCGAGTTCAGCGGCCTTGTAATTAAAATGTAAATTTGAGAAAGAGATTATGTCCTGACAGAAACGGTGGGATTAAGGGGAAGATAAAAGCCCCTCAGTGCAAATTCAGAGGAAAGAGACCGGCGCGAGCACGGAGCACTGCTCCCCGCGGCCTCACACAGAACCGGCCCCTTCGGGCTCACCGGCAGAAACGGAAAAAACGGCGCAGAAGGCCATCCCGTGCACCGGTCCAGTGTCTACAGAAGTGAAGTTGGGGCAAGCAGCGCCCCCCACACTGTCATCTCTGAGCGGAGGGCCTGTACCTGGGGGCCCCTCCTGGCCTCCCACTGTCCCATGAGAGGTCCCAGGGTGGCTCCTGCTTCATCTCAGCTCAAAGCCTCTTCACTCGGGTGACAGGGCTCTCTGGGGGGAGCGGTTCCAGGCAAGGGAAAAAGTCCCTGGTCTGGGACCACCATCCTGGTGACACTGTGTGGTGGGTGCGGTCTGACACAGGCACACAGCACCCCCATGCCTCTGGCCTCTGTCTACAGGGTAACGCCACCCTCCTTGGGGCCCTCCCGCCCTCACCATGGGCCACCACTGTGGCTGTGTGCACAGCCCCCCGAGTTCGTGTCCTCAACCCCCTACCATCCTCAGCTGGCTTTTCACTTTGGCTGTCGTCAGGCAGGCCTTCGATTCATAGCCATCCCACATACAACAGCGTGAGGCCCGTCCGGACTGTACTACCCATACTGTTCAGAGAACTCCCAAACAGCACCTGGCCAGACTGGAGGCCGTGGCCACGACAGCCATGACAACATCCCTCCAGATGAAACCAGAATGTCTCGAGCCTTCAGAAGAAAGGGGTGAGCTGGTGGCATGTGAAATCAACATATGAAATGTGCCTGCTCTGCCCCTGCAGGCCAGCGCTCTGCGGGCACTGGAGCCTCCATAAGGTGGACAGTCACGACACAGCCTGACAAGGGCCACGGCTGGAGGCAAATGTCACAGGGGCCCAGGAGGCCCAAGGGGCAGGAGTAGAGCCCAGAGCCACTGGCTCACGTCACAGTTTCTGAGCCAGCAAAGGCCCATCAGGGGGTGTGTCTCCATGCCATCCCGCTGGGCCTGGGAAGATGGCAACCCCTGGAGAAATCTACACTCGTGTGCGGGGCTGGGATGACCCAAGAGCTGGGCTCAGCTGGGACTGCCAACCTGAGTACCTCCTTGGGGCTCTTCCATGTGGCTTGGGCTTTCTCACAGCATGGCCGCCTCACCACTGTCAGACCCTCACACGGCACCCCAGGGCCGTGTCTGCACAAGTACCCCGGCAAACAAGGCACAAGCCACACACGCCTTAAAACCCAGCTCCTGATCCCTACTGGCTGGCAGTCACAGTCCGTGCAGGCTTGGGGACCGTCCCCTCACTAGCTCTCCCACTGGGGGTTGTGTGAGGGGAGACGCAGTCACAGTCCGTGCAGGCTCGGGGACCGTCCCCTCACTAGCTCTCCCACTGGGGTGTGTGTGAGGGGAGACGCAGTCACAGTCCGTGCAGGCTCGGGGACCGTCCCCTCACTAGCTCTCCCACTGGGGGTTGTGTGAGGGGGAGACGCACAGCAGGGACTCGGAACGTAAGTGGCCAGGGCCCAAGCAGCCTGCCCCCTCTGTCCTGTCGCAGCTGTCCCTGACCTGGGCATGGGAGGCCTCACTGGCCGCACTTCAATCAGGCACCTCCCAGGGGCTGCTGAGGCTTCACCCAGCTAAAGGCAGCAGGGAGCCTGATGGGGAGGAGACAAAGGCTACCCTGGGCCTGGGAGGGGCAGTCACTGAACCTAAGGAATTCCTTCCGTCCCCCTCGGGTGCTTGTGCAACGGGTGGGGCTGCAGCAGTGGCCAGCTCAGAGGAGGCTGCTGGCGGCCACAGGCTCCCATGCTGAGTAGAGAGGTGGAGCGCGAACCAGGAAGATGGGCAAAGAGGTGATCTCCAGGCCACGGAGTCAGGAAGAGTATACACCAGGGGGCTTTGGGGATGATGGCCCAGGGGTCAGAGAGAGACCTGAAGAAGAGGAAGGGCTGGAACAAGACCAGGGAGACCCCGGCAAGGGGACATCCGGGCCAAGGCTGCGGGTGGGAAGACTGGGGCTTGGTTGAGGCGGGCAGGAGCTGTTCAGGGTTGGGAGGCAGCCTCACGGTGCTCCGTGTGTGTGGACCGTCACCAGCTTGCCTGGGAAGCCTGAAGGGCAGGAAGCAGGTCTGAGAATTCGCTGTACCCCTTGATTGAATTGGGGCCCAGACGTAAGCAGGGACCCAGTGACAGGTCGGTCACCCAGCAGCCCCCCGCTCGAGGCCACCTTCTCGGCTCCAGAACTCATGCTAACCCCAGGTGCTGGCCTGCCCAGGCCCATGATGCCACTCCACATGGCACTGGCCAGGTGGCCCCCAGACCCCGCAGATAGCGGGCCGGAGTAAACAGGGGCTGTACAAACGGAAGGTTGTTAAAAGTCTGGTCGTGTTAATTTGGCATGACACCCCTAATGGCTTCTATCTTCACACTTGAGTGGCCTAATCATGTAAATTCTTTAACAAATTTCCATTTCATCTTCCAGGCTCAGATCGCCTCGTCTAACTCCCACAAAAGCCACAGCCCTGTTGGCCTTGCTTCCTCCCCCTGTAAGCACCCTCAGCCCCACCCCGCAGACTGCAGAGCGGGGCCTGGTCCAACCACTGTCCCCAGATGCAGGGAATAACTTTTAGAATTCTTTGGAGAAAAAAAATTCAAAATGTTCTAAATGGGAAAGATCAGTCCTGTGCCAGCTTGGCACCGGGGGGTGGGGGGGTTGCCCTGTGCTACAAAGGAAACTGGGCTCAGGCTCAGATGGTGAACCCGTGACCCCACAAACATGAAGACACCACCTGCAATGCCCTCCTGTAACCAGCAACCGGGTAGAAAGAGTGCAGAGGGCGTGGAAGCCGTCTCTGCAGCCCCCCACTGCCAGCTCCCCCAGCTGGGAAGACCCCACCCTCTGGCCTCACACGGCCTGAAGCAAACACCACCAGACACTTGTGCTGTCCTGCTCTGGGGGCACCTTTGTTTCTCGATTTCAGACTCTCCTCCACCAGGGTTGGGCATCTCTCCACGAGGCCAGCCCATGGACAGGGCATGGGCTCCTACCTGGGCACCAGTGTGGCCTGTGTGCTGGGGACCATGGGCCCCATCCCACATCCCCACGAGGCCTGCCCATAGACAGGGCATGGGCTCCTACCTGGCACCAGCGTGTCCTGTGTGCTGGGGACCCTGGGCGCCATCCCACGTCCCCATGAGGGCTGCCTGCAGACAGGGCACAGGCTTCTTCCTGGGCACTAGTGTGGCCTGTGTGCTGGGGACCCTGGGCGCCGTCCCACATCCCCATGAGGGCTGCCCACGGACAAGGCACGGGCTCCTCTCTGGGCACCAGCATGGCCTGTGTGCTGGAGACACCTGGACCCCATCCCACGTCCCCATGAGGGCTGCCCACAGACAAGGCATGGATTCCTCTCTGCACACCAGCATGGACTCTGTATTGGGGCTCCTGCAGACAACAAGCTACACACAGAACTCCCTGGTGGGCAGCCAACATCCACCAGTGCCTGGAAAGGGCCCACCCCCACACAGGTGCCCCAGCAGGCAGGTGGGTACACGTGTGAGCCCAGCCCCGCCCCAGGAGAGAAAGCGGAAACTCCACCACATCATATGATGACAGACTCCGATGAAATCCCTTGGCACAGCTGAGGCAAGATGCCCTTCCCAAGGCCCACAGTGACCGCAGGCACACCTGAGTGGAACCGAGGGGACACCTCCACAGGTCGACCTCTACCCCTCAGGGGGCACAGGTCAGAAGCTCAGTGTCTCATCCTCGGGGCATGCTGGTCACAGCCACCAGACAAAGCAGACCCCTCTCACGGCTCCCCCCACTTGCCATGGAGAGCGCTTGTCCCCTGCCCACCTGCTGCCCTAACACCCACCACTACCTTCTCCAGGCCCGTGACTGCACCTGCACTGGGGCCCCCGCCCTGGCCAGAACCCCCTCAGGCTACGGCCCCCTCTCCACCTGCCAATGGGCTCCACCTTCCCCCAAGATCCCCTCCTTAGGGCTGCACCCCTGCTCCTCCACTGAGACCCCACCAACTTCAGGTCAAAGCCCCACCTTTCTCACCCCTCTCACTGAGACCCTCCCCTCAGGCTGTGCCCACCACAGCCCCACCCCTGGGGAGCAGTCCGTCCCTCTCGGCACCCCCAGCGCTCCGGCACTCACCATACTCTGCCCGGAGGTGGTCGGGGATGTGGGGCTCATACCCTTCCTTCTCCGGGACCTCCACAAACTCGTCCTCGTCCTCATCGTCCTCGCCCCCGGCCCCCAGGGCTGCCGTCTGCGGAAACAAGCCCAAGGACACGTGACCTCCTGGCCCTGGGGTAAAACTGCTTGCTGCCGGGCAGCTCCCCGGACAGGCCTGCGTCTCCTGCACGTTTCTCTGTTTAAGATTCCACCGTCACTCACCATGAGATCTGGTTTTAACGTGGCCTCCAAGGCTACTCTTATTCCGAGAACACCACTTCTCCACCTGTGCTCTAGGCACCTGCAGGGGCCTTGAACGCCCACCTGCAAAACCACGCATCTGAGCATGCCACACAGCCCCTGGGACACGGGCTGCCTTCCCGGGGGCACAGACTGGGCACTGCTTCCAGAACTCCACAGGACAGACTGACTTTCTGTAAAAAGTGCCCTCTGTAACCACAGCTCTCATCCAGTGAAAGGAGAAGCCTTCCTGTGGTTTGGGCCACAGTGACCTATGTCACCCAGCAGGCCGCAGGTGACCGTGACATGGGCAGTAACCCACAGCACCTGCCACTCTCAGGACAGGCACTGCCCCTGGGGACCCTTCCCCAGAGGTGGGGTTGACAGGTACCTCACAGACAAACAAGGAGTAACAGGCGTTTCGGGAATATTTTATCCTAAAAGAAATATTAAAACAAAAACCCCACTGCTCGGGACCATAGTCGCAGAGGACATCAAGCTCAATTGGCATAACATACTACATAAAACATTGTTCCACCTCCTACTGTGGCGAGTAACGACTGAGATCTTAAAAGCTTGCAAGCTGCCATCTAGATGCAACGATGGTTCTCTCCTCGTCCAGAACCAAGAAGAATGAAGAAAACCAAAAATTCATGGGAACAATTAATCCTAGCGGACTGGTACACCATCTGACCTTTAGCCTATACGACTATGAGATCAGAAGAAATAGATGATGTTCGGCTACTACTGTCATCCACTTGGAAGGGGATCTATATAGGAGTTCCTGGATAGACAGGGAGAACAATGTGGAACAAAACTCAAAATCATTTGGTAAAAAAAAAAGGGGGGAAACAGGTTTGCTGGCCCGATGGAGCCTGGTGGAACCACTGAGCCTATGGCCCCTAGCTGCCCTTCAGGTCTGGAATTGAATGCACACCTGTGGCTTCCAGCCAAACAAAAGACAGGTATATGAGCTGAAAATTTACCTGAGGTAGATACACTCCTTGGAGAGAACACGCATGAGAGAAAGAAGGGCTGTTTATGCACAGGGAGACAGCTCAGGGGGCAGGAGTGCACAGAGGGATGGACACAGGGAAGAGGTAACTATTGGGAGGAAGTGGGAAGTGAGCTGTGGCATTGTGGTAAATTGTGGTCAATGTCATGAGACAAAGTATGTGAACCGCTGTATGGAAAGTGTATTTGCTCTGTAAATTTTCACCCAAATCACAATTTAAAAAAAAAAAAAAAAACTGTGAAGAGATTTTCCCTTGACTGAGGCCCTCTGGGTTCAGGGTCAGCCTGGTGGCGACACTCAGCCTCTTACAGGGGAAGCAGGCCGAGTCACCCAAGCCTGGGAGAAGGCATCTGTCTCATACTCCCTTCCGTGCTCTGAAGACCTGAAGAGTTCGCGTCCTTTTTTTTTTTTTTTTTAAATAAGCAAAGCTGCTCTTCCCCATGACCCCAATCTTTCTTCACATGCACACGTCTACCCCCCACACTCCAGACCTGCCCCAAGACCTTCCTACCCTCCAATGTCACCTCGTCCTTGGTTCGTGAACATGGCCGCCCAGCCCCCAGGGTCACAACGGCCCCTTGGGCCACCCCAACCCAACACTCGACAGGGCCACTGTGCCTGGTCCCCATGTCATTTGAGACACAGGTTGAAAAGCTCTGTGGAGGCTGCCCGTGCCCAAGGCAAGCCTCCTGGCACATACTGGAGCCCAGAGCCCCAGGGACCTACAGCCACCACACTCACTGTCAAGAAGCCCTAAACCACATGAAATGGTGGAACCCACCCTCAGGCCCTCAGGTTCTGTTCTGTAGGACACTGTGACAATAGCGCCACCTCCTCCCCCACCAGCTGAGAAACCAGGGGTCGAGAGAGGCCAGCTGGGGCGCAGCAGCGAGGGAGACCCTGTGGGGTTCCTCTCCTCCTTGGACACCAGCCACCTGTCCTTCCTTCCTGAGCAGTCCCAGCAGAGAGGCGAGCCTGCCACCCGCTGCCTAAGCCACTGGGGGTCTCCCGGGTCCAGCAGTGTGCCCTCAGTCGGAGCCTGAGCTGAGTCGACCTGCATAATCAGGAGGACGGCTGCCTGGCTCACCTCAGACCAGGAGGGGCCTGGCAGGGGCTGGAGGAACCGTGGACAGCGTGTGCGTGCACGTGTGTGTGCGTGCGTGCGTGCGTGTGCGTGCATGTGTGTGTGTGTATGTCAGCTTTCTTCGCTGGGAGCCAGCACCATCAGGAGCCGCCAAGGCTTCTTACTGCCTGCAGAGTCACTTCCAGGGTCGTGTCCCACCATCGAAGAAAGTACCTGTCAGATTGACACCAACGACCGTGAAAGGAAAATTCCTCCCCATGGATCACGGGCCCTTCGACAACTCTAAGAGCCAAACCTGCAGACACTTAAAGGAGCTGACTGCCTTTGTTTCTGAAGGTGAGCGAGACTTGCCGTCAACCTCTCAAAGGCACCTACAACTGTGGCCGGGGAAGGCTGGAGACCCTAAGAGCCCAAGGACCTGATCCATCTGGTCACCAAAAGCAAGCCCAAGTAAGTGCAAGACGGGCGTCCACGGCATCGTGCAGCCTGCGGACGCGGATGTGGTGCTCGGCCCTGGCTGCCTGGTCGGTCCCCTGGGAGGCACACCTGGCCGTACCTGCTGCACCCGGCACCCGCTGCCAGGAGCCCCTGCCCCGGAGGCTCAACGGGCTGCAAACGCGCTGTTGGGGCGCCGCCCACGGCTGAGCATCTGGGCGCCCGGACATTAATCACCAGGAAGCGTAATTTTTGTTATCAGTCTAACACTGATCAAAAGGGAAGCCTGTCTCCACCGCTGACCTGTGAAACGTCCCAATTATGCTCTTTGGAAATGACAGGGGCACTTAACTCCCGAGCTGAGCAAATGGCGACGATCAATCACGTTTGAATAACAATGAGCCGCGGACCTGAAAATTATTTTTGTATAGAATCTACCCAGGAATTTATGAAAGGCGCAAGGCAGCCAAGGTTCCGGGCATTATGACTCGCGGCTCGTGCCGAGCGTATCAAACACTAAACAGAATTTATGTGTTTTAATTTTCTAAAAGGTAGATGTGGGCTCGGCGCTACAATGCATAACATATAGCGGCCGACTTTAAATATGGGGGTCATTTCCCTACAGGGTGCTGCTCGCTGCCCACCCCCTTCATCTCACCGGGGACCCTCAACACCGCCTCCTCTGCCAACAGAATATCCGAGCGCTCAGCTGAGTAGCGGGAGTTCCCCTTCTTTCGCCGCAGCTAAAAGGGTTTATTCCCGTGACTGAGTCCCGAGCCCTGGGCTCCTCTCTGCTCCTAAATTAGCCCTGACGAGGCCGCCTTCCTGGGCCGGGCTGTCTGCAGAGGGCAGGGTCGCGAGCTCCTTGGTAAACACGCACCAAGGCGGCCGAGCGGCTCCTGGTCGGGCCGCATCCGCCTGCACCCACGCTCGGGTCCCTCAGGAAACCCTGTCTCTAGAGGCACCAGGCTTTTCGTGAGCAGAGCCGACTGGAGCGGTTCCCTTCCCTCTGCTGCCTGAAACTCTCGGGAGGCCAGCGAGCCATTCACGAGGCATGGCCCCCGGGCTCAGACTACACTTGTCACTAAATCTCAGCTCGAGAGCTCCACCTGCCAGGTTTCACTCACAGGGGATTAACTCGGGGACCCCGGGAGCACCAGTGGGAACTCCTGCCTGGGGCCAGGACGCCAGCCTCTGTGCGGTGAGGAAGGGCAGAGCCGTGGTGGCGCGGAGAGGCAGGAAAGCGCTCTGGCCCGGAGCACGCGGCGGGCACAGCTCCAGCGACGCTCCCGAGACCTGCTCACGGCTCGTGCTGGAGTGGGGTCAGGACCACGGGCCCCAGGCCTCCCTCAGGACGTGGCCCCACTCAGAGGCAGAGAGGCCCATTTCCACCGCGAAAACAAGTCGTCAAACGGTCAAGACGGTGGCAGTGGCTGCGGCGACCTTCTCCTCAAGGTCAAAGACCATGCTAGACTAGACAAGGGCAGCCCCGACGGACGTGTGGGGACAGACGTGCCAGTTGAGGGCAGCATCCTTCCACTGGTGACCCTCCCAAGGCTGTGGGGGGAACACAAGGAGGGCAGCTCTCAGGCCTGGGGTCCTGTCCTGAGGGAGGTCCCGTTCTGCAGAGAGCCGTTCAGGCTTGGCAACGTGTTTTCAAGATGGCATCCGACTTAAAATATTGCCTCAACAACAGCCTGCTTTTAACTCATCTGAGTGGAGAGTTTTCTCCCCATGGAAACCAAACTGAAGACAAATCCGACCCCTCCCCTTGTCTGCACAAGATAAGGGCTCACCAGGTGCCGCCCCCCAAGGTGAAGCCACCAGCACAGTCCCTAACAGCTTAGCATCCCCTCAGGAGGGGCTGGGGACAGCAGCTCTGCTGGCCAATCCCACAGCTCCCTTGGGCCCGCCACCCGCCTCTCCCAGCCCAGGTCAGAGGCCACCTGCGAGCAAGCGCCTGAGCCGTGGAGGGCCCCGTGGCAGGGCCGCGCCTTCCCGGCCCAGCGCGCCATCCCCGGCTCCAAGCTGGTTTCATACCAACGGAGTCTCACCCACAGTTAAAAGGAGCTAGAAAAATGGGCCTTTGCGATCATAATTAAACAAGCAATAAAACGGCTAAAATATACAATGCAATCAGTTTACCGAGGGCACGCAGAGAGGGCGCTAATTATCGGAGCAGGAAGAGGAAGAGGAAGCGTGGTGCAGAGCCGCTGTGGCCGCCGCCCGAGCGCGGCCCAGAGACTGCAGCTGGGCCATTAAATAAATTCTGTACGATCTAATTAACTGGGCGCGCAATCTCAATTACTTTTCACCCAAG